GGGCAGCCCGCGAGACCCAGCCCACGGCCGCGATCCCCGGAGGCCGTCAACGCCCACTGTCCTAGCGGTGACCCTGCCCTGGCGCTTCTGCCGGGTCCTCGACAGGAGTCCAATCGACAGGTTCAGCGACGCTTCTGGAAAGCGTGCGATCCAGGGCGCTGATGTGCACTACCCTGTGGGGCACCGAAATAGCTGAACGCTATTTAAGCCCGCAGCAGGGATGTGATCAGCCCAGGGTTTGGCGCCTGGATGAAAAGGAAACAAACTTGAGCTGCGGCCATGGGCTGCTGCTTCCACAAACTTGAGAGAGGGCAGTGGCTGCTGCTCTCAATAGGCAAGGAGAGGGGACTAGGCCACCTTCCTCAACCCCCAAATAGAGAACTCAGATAAGACGTCAGCACGCTTCCTATGCCAGCGCAGCCTCCCGACAACCTCCCTTCCCCGTTCCCAGTGCCCGGTCATCTCAGCCTTCCAGGCAGTGGCCACTGGCAAGTTAATGAGATCCTCTTCTTTCATCCTGGGGAAAGCCGGAGTGAATGAATAGTTGAAAACACAAAATTTAAGTGCCTATGGGCTAGGTCCTTTAAGACTTCAAAATATACTCAAATGCTTAAATGATGACAGCAAAGACTTAAGGAAGGTGTTGAGAACGGAGTTGACAGAAAATTAATACGTTACTTTGATAGCTTAGCAAAGGCCTGCAACAGCTTTATCAATAGAGTAGTGTGGCTTTTGCTGAAAGCAGTTTTCTTCATGGAAGGAATTTTATAGCAGGGGCAAAATATATAGAAACAATGAAAAGACCTTTAGAAAATTCCCTTAAGATGTTAATTATAGAATTATCTTGATCATTTGCACAAGAATTTTTCAAACACTTTTCAAAGGTGTCAACTGAGCATCTTGTCTTAGCAGGGAAACGTGCTTAAAAATGCAACTTGCTTTTCTCTTCCTTGGTTTTTCTCAACAATTTCCAAATAAAATTTTGGCTTCAAATACTGGAATACGTTCATCCGATTGAAGTCTGAGAAAGAAGAAAATTAAAATTGAACAACTTGCTTTTTTCTTCCTTGATGTTTCTGAACAGCTTCCATGGAAACTTTTGCCTCATACAGTGGAATGGGTTCATCCAACTGAGGTCTGAGAAGGAATGAAATTAGAAATGTCAGGTCAAGTTAAAGTAGAACAAATGGGGTGGTATATGACAAATGCTAGTGCTCAAATCTATTACTTTATTAATTTTTTGAGACAGACTCTGGCTCTGTTGCCCAGGCTGGAGTGCAGTGGCACGATCTCAGCTCACTGCAACCTCTGCCTTCCAGGTTCAAGCGATTCTCATACTTCAGCCTCCTTAGTAGTTGGGATTACAGGTATGCACCATCAAGCCTGGCTAATTTTTGTATTTTTAGTAGAGATGGGTTTCACCATGTTGGCCAGGCTGGTCTTGAACTCCTGGCCTCAAGTGATCCGCCTACCTCAGCCTCCCAAAGTGCTGGGATTACAGGCATGAGCCACTGCACCCAGCCTCAAATCTATTACTTTAAGTAATTCAAACAAATTTGTCCATTAGTGTTTCCAATGTTAAAAGTGGTTAAGTTTTGAAGGAAAAAAAATTATCTTCTTTATTTACTACCTCTTTTTTTTTTGAGATGGAGTTTCTCTCGTTGCCCAGGCTGGAGCGCAAAGGTGAGATCTTGGCTCACTGCAACCTCCACCTCCCAGGTTCAAGCAATTCTCCTGTCCCAGCCTCCCCAGTAGCTGGAATTATGGGTGCTTGCCACCAGGCTCAGCTAATTTTTGTATTTCTAGTAGAGACAGGGTTTTGCCATGTTGGCCAGGCTGGTCTCGAACTCCTGACCTCAGGTGATCCACCCGCTTCAGCCTCCCAAAGTGCTGAGATTATAGGGGTGAGCCACTGCGCCCGGCCTACTCCCTCTTTTATAAGTGATAAACATTCAACTTTAAACAAATATACCATGGTTTTCTCTCCTTCAAGCTATTGGTTATTTCAAGTTGCTTTGGGAGGGGTGATGAGGAAAAGCAAAGGGTGAGGTACACTATATAATGGAGTGAGGAAAACTCACAAGCCACTTCTATTTCTGGGAGTACCTACTGGTGTGCCACCAGATATACTTTGATAAATATTAAAGAGCAGCTATTTATCTAAATAAAATATAAGGTCAGTGCAAAAGTAATTACAGTTTCTGCCACTACTTTCAATGGCAAAAACCACAATTATATTTGCACCAACCTAATAATAAAATATGGAGGCAACAGGCACATGGCGAGAGCTAAAACAAAAGTGGGACTGCCTGCCTTAGCTCCTTGAAAATAGAAAAACAACAATGATTTGGTTACTTTAGCGTACCTGAAAACACCAGTCGATAACTTCTCCATCACATCCTTTAAGATACGTAGCTGGAAGGATTGTTAAGGTGGCAATGTAAAGGAGAATTAAATAAAACCATTCAATAAACAGAGGATGCCAGGCAGATCACTTTCTCTTGTTTCAAGTTTTGTACTCTCAGAGATTCAACATGTTAAGTTAGAGAAATTCTGGAGGACGTCAAGTTTAGCTCTACAGCAGGGAAGTGATTTGAGAGTTGGTGGTGTAACAGAGCCTAAATTTCCAAGAACAAGTGACAAGAGCAGCAACTCAAGCCTGGTGCTTATCCTAAGTGCTCACCACTATTATCTCAATGGATGGGAATGAAATAGTGTCTAGTTTTCATTTCTATATTACACATGGCATTTTAAGTTAAAAACAATTTTAGCACTTACATATCTTACTTTAGATGTACATTTGTTGACCAGGCTGTTTGGTAATAGGCTCAAAATTTGTTTGCAGAAGCCAGTAAACTTTGTGTGTGTGTGATATACAGTCATTCCTCAGCATCCATGAAGGATTGGTTCCAGGACCCCCATGAAGACCAAAATCTCCAGATACTCAAGTCCTTTACAGAAAATAGCGCAGCAGGTTGGAAAACAAGGCTCTCTATAAAAAATTAAAAAATTAGCCAGGCATGGTGGCATGTGCCTGTTGCCCCAGCTACTGGGGAGGCTGAGGCAGGAGGATCCCTTCAGCACATGGGTTTGAGGTTACAGTGAGCTGGAATGAGCACTGCACTCCAGCCAGGGCAACAAGCAAGACCCTGTCTCAAAAAAAAAAAAAAAAAAAAAAAAGGCAAATTTGCATATAACTGAGGCACAGCTGCATTATACATTAAGTCATCTCTATGTTACGTATAATACCTAATGCAATGTAAATACTATGTAGGTAGTGGTTATACTTTTTTTTTTTTAATTGTTGTATTATTACTTTTTCAGAGTTTTTGTTTTTTTTTTTTTTGAAACAGGGTCTCCCTCTGTGGCCCAGGCTAGAGGGCATGATCATGCTCACTGCAGCATTAACCTCTCAGGCTCTAATAATCCTCAACCTCCCAAGTAGCTAGGACCACAGCGATTCACTGCCACACCAGGTTAATTTATTTTATTTTATTTTTTTGTATAGACAGGGTCTCCCTATGTTGCCTGGACTGGTCTCGAACTCCTGAGATGAAGCCGTCCTCCTGCCTCAGCCTCCCAAAGTGTTGGGATTACAGGCGTGAGCCACTGCCCCCGGTCTCCAAATATTTTTGATCTTTGATTCGTTGAATCCCTGGATGTGGAACCCTCAGATACAGGGGGCTGTATGTCACTAAGAGAATCAGAAAATGATGTAAAAATCAAAGAAAAATCTCTCTTGCTAATTTAATTGAAATTATAATATTAAGATCAAAATGCTATGTAATTGCCAGTACTTCTGAATTATTTATGGCCTAGAATGACACAGTTGGAAGGAGATGTCTCTGTTAAATCACAAGCAGCAACTTAGCTTGTATGAACTGAATGAGGAGGGTTTACACAAGTGAGGACTACAGTATGATTCAGGACTTTAGAAAATGCAAATTAGGGCTGGGCGCAGTGGCTCACGCCTGTAATCCCAGCACTTTGGAAAGCTGAAGCAGGTGGATCACCTGAGGTCAAGAGTTCGAGACCAGCCTGACCAATATGATGAAATCCTACCTCTACTAAAAATACAAAAATTAGCCGGGCATGGTGGCATGCGCCTACAGTCTCAGCTACTTGGGAGGCTGAGACAGGAGAATTGCTTGAACGTGGGAGACAGAGGTTGCAGTGAGCCAAGATGGCGCCACTTCACTCCA